GCATGACAAACACCCATGGCGGACGTACTAAGACTGGTTGGACTATCGCCCTCACAAAACGCACTGCCCAGCACGCCCATCGCGCTTGTATGCGTTCTCGAACTGCTAATGCCCCCAAACCGCCCAAAGTTGGGTGGCCATATAACAAATATTTAGGAACCCCGGGGAGTCGTCTGTCCCCAAAAGTCCGCAACCATCTGTGGCAACTTCATCGTGTCTGTAATAAGACGACCCGTTCTATCTTGCAACGCTGAAATAACTTGTAGAGTCTTAGACGGGTGCACCAGGGTTGTTAGCCCTCTACTAGGCCGTTCACCCTCACGAATCCACTGTAACCGAACCCATTCCGCCTCCTGTGCACCTTCAGCTCTAGCCGCTTGTACAACCGCTACTTGGGCGTCAATTGCCGCTTGGATCCTCTGTGCACTCATATCTTCGGTCTGCACTTCTTCCAGTGCCCGTGTTGCATGTTCTATTGCCAAACGTACTTGCCCCCCCGGGGGTAAACGACGTTCTCGCGCTTGCCGATTAAGAACAGTTACTTCATTGAACATTCGATGTTTAAACAACGGCCACCAGTGTAGCATAGCTACTGTGTCTGTCTCAGCGGGTCTCTGCACACACTCATCACCAATCCATTGCAAGAACCTTCCCTTCAAGTCAGGGAATTCTAAGAAATGCGTGTGTAGCCGTGGAAGGCCTGGACCACGCGCTCTCACAAGACGAGGTAATAGAGCAATAATAGCTAGGCGGTGGTCTGTCGAAGTGCACACTGGAATGGTAGAGGAAGCAATGAAGGGGGTGAGGTTTGTGGAAGTATAGATTCGATCAAGCCGTGACCCTCCCGACACACCTGTTTTATACAGAAACGAAAGGTCACGACGGGTAGGGTGAAGGTAGCGATATGTGTCTACCATATCAGGGCAGCATTCGGAGAAAGCCTTAGCTATGGACAAGTCCGCGGGTCTACTCCCTTCTCCTGTGGTGGAATCTAGCATCGGATTATGGACAAAATTAAAATCTCCAGCCCAAAGCAAATGATCATCCTGTCCTATCCTGTTTACCACATCGCCAAGAGAATGCACACACGCCTTCATCTGATCTATCGAGTAACTAGATGTCATGAGGTACAAATTAATCAAATGAATACGGTGACCACACCACGTGAACGAAACCGACGCGGTACGGCCTTGGGGAATGTTAACCGGAAGTAGTCGTGCCGGTGTTTGTACTATTTTAAAGTCGCGATAAAGATCTTTGCGCACTAGCACTAATACTCCAGCCGTCCGGGCATTGGTCGTGGGGGATTGTGCTATTATATCCCATCCCGGTATCCCTATTTTCTGAGCCGCGAATTGCAATTCTCTAGTGAGGATTGTCAGGTCTCCATCTCCCATATGATGTGTCTCCTGTAAACAAATGACATCCAACCTATGCTGGGCCCATACTCTAGCCGCAGCATGGATACGAGTATATGCCGAATGCGTAAATAAACCCGCTACATTATGGGACGCTATACGAAGGGGTCTATTATTAGGCCTCCTGCATCTTGTCCGTCGCCCCATTTACCGAGGGGTATTTCCGTATCTCCATTTCTGCGCACTACTACTGTATTTCTCCCTTCCTCCTCCTCGCTGACTTGCATGAGGTCACCCGGGTCGTCATGTGGAAGAACATGAAACCTGGGCGGGCTTATTACCGTGTCTCGCCTCTTGTGTTGGGGAGTGACCCCTGGAGATGAAGTGCACGACGTTGGTTTGTCCGCATGCTTGCCCAGCACAGGTTGATCGGTGGGCAGAAGTGGGTCTCCACGATTCGTTTGTCTCTGCGCCCGTCTACTTTGCAATTGCCATTGCTGTTCGTCTTGCATATTTCCGGCCAGGATGTATACATCTTGAATTGGTTGGCCCAGCAAGGGGTGCGCGGTGGAGGGAGATTTAGGGATAGAAGCTGATGCCGGTAGCACCGGTTGATTGGTGGTAGTATATAAGAGCTGCTGCTGTTGTCGCTGCTGCTGCTGTGGCGGCTGTTGCTGTATCTGCTGCTGTTGCTGTTGTGGTTGCTGGTTCTGTCATTGTTGTGGCTGTTGCTGTTGTTGCTGCTGTGTTTGCTGTTGCTGTGTCTGTTGTTGCTGTTGCTGTTGTTGCTGTTACTGCTGCTGCTGTTGTTGTACTTGTCATCATACTACGGCAGCTGCTGCTCTGCCTGCCATTTCTGCTGCCTCCTCGTTTGACACTCGGGTTGGCGAGATATGCTGCGTCGAGTTGTGTTGTATTTGATGTGGTTGCTGCGGGAGTTGTGTTTGTTGATTTTGCAGCTGCTGCTGTCGACTTGTTTGCTGGTTTGGCGGGGGCTGTCCAGTAGCCACGGGTTGACGTGCATCGCTTGATCCTCCTACTTCGCCGACAGCTGGCATCGCTAGACTAGGACGTGCTCGCGCCGTGATGACTGCCGCCGCCGAAATGGGCGGCGGGAGATTCGGTATTAAGCGGTGTCGTCGTTGAATCTTAGGTGGGCGGGGCAGAGCCGGAGTCTGTGTATCGTAGTACGTATGTTGTGCTCACCACGTCCCCCTATGGATCCGCCGGCCATCCTCCTCAATGGAGAAAATATTCATCCTGGCGGGTAATGCGGGCTGATCCCATCACACCCACACCACGGCTGTAGTAAGACTAGCCTCCACTATCCCCCATTGCTTTCCATATTGGTCTACGTCAAAGCCGTAGGCTTCCATGATAAGCCAGAATAGGCATTTCTGAGGAAATGCCGGAGGTAGTCCTGACAGTCGGAAATATTGGGCAGATGCCCCCACTATGTCTACCACGAGGTCTTGAATGTGGTATTCTCGTAGATGGAGATCTGCTAAATTAATACGTCCGCAATGATCCGCTAAGTTTTTAACGGGCGTTATCCATTCCTCCGGCACGTAGACATTGATCTGTCCCACGACTCCTTCGTCGTTGCGAGCTTCCCAGGCCACAGGTTCTCCGACGAAAACGTAAGGAACTTTTAGCTCCTGTTGTATGGTCTGTACTATTCGGTTTCCTATTGGTCCTACCATAATATCTAGTACCTGTTTCCTGTTCTCCAGGTAATTTCCTTGAAAAAGGGCTCTCATGGCCAGTGACCGAAGTTGTCCAAAAGGTTGCTCCATATGCGTAATTTCCCTAAGAAGGGAAATTGATATGGTCGCTTCGGATCGTTCCGCCGACATTCCGGCGGCCTGATCCGTTGAGCTGTTACGGGCCATTTTGAGGTCGTTCTTTCTCAGAAAAGTTATTTATGGTAAATAGACCGGACCGGGTTAACCCGGTTCGGTCATTGTTTTGATGTTGAGCCTGCAAGTTGTGATTGTGGCTATATGGTTGCTATTGTTGTTGCTATTATTGTGTAGTTGATGAGGTGTTACACTGTGGGCGGCTCGCCCGATAAAGGACGAGCACCGGGGGCCCTGACCGGGCCGAAACACAGCGCAGGGACGGGCGCGCGGCTCTACGTCCGTCTGTTCCTCCGCGCGCCTCATTCCCTCACTCACGCCAACCGGGACGCTCTCCCAGCCCCTGGCTAGGCAACACAGCGCTGCAGAGGACTGCGAACCGAACTATACGAGAGCCGCACGAGAGGCGCCACTTTGCCTAGCCTGCCTAAGCGCGCGCTCTCGTCCCTCTTGACCGCCAAAACAAGAAACAATGACAGTTAACCCGGTCGGTCTATTTACAACCTTTTTCTGAGAAAGAACGACCTCAAAATGGCCCGTAACAGCTCAACGGATCAGGCCGCCGGAATGTCGGCGGAACGATCCGAAGCGACCATATCAATTTCCCTTCTTAGGGAAATTACGCATATGGAGCAACCTTTTGGACAACTTCGGTCACTGGCCATGAGAGCCCTTTTTCAAGGAAATTACCTGGAGATCAGGAAACAGGTACTAGATATTATGCTAGGACCAATTGGAGACCGAATAGTACAGACAATACAACAGGAGCTAAAAGCTCCTTACGTTTTCGTCGGAGAACCTGTGGCCTGGGAAGCTCGCAACGACGAGGGAGTTGTGGGACAGATCAATGTCTACATGCCGGAGGAATGGATAACGCCCGTTAAAAACTTAGCGGATCATTGCGGACGTATTAATCTAGCAGATCTCCACCTACGAGAATGCCACATTCAAGACCTCGTAGTGGACATAGTGGGGGCATCTGCCCAATATTTCCGACTGTCAGGACTACCTCCGGCATTTCCCCAGAAATGCCTTTACTGGCTTGTCGCGAACATCTATGGCCTTAACATAGACCAATATGGAAAGCAATGGGGGATAGTGGAGGCTACTCTCACTACAGCCACGATTTGGTTGCGATGGGACCAGCCCACACTACCCGCCCGAACGAATGTCGTCTCCGTTGAAGAGGATGGCCGGCGGATCCATAGGGGGACGTGGCGAGCACAACATACGTACTACGATACGCAGACTCCGGCTCTGCCCCGCCCACCTAAAATTCAACGATGACACCACTTAATACCGGATCTCCTGGCGCCCATTTCGGCAGCGGCAATGATCGCGGCGTGAACACGCCCTAGTCTAGCGACGCCAACTGTGGGCGAAGCAGGAGGATCAAGCGATGGACCTATAACAAGACAACCCGTTGCTACTGGAAAGCCCCCGCCAAACCAGCAAACAAGTCGACAGCAGCAGCTGCAAAATTAACAAACACAGCTCCCGCAACAATCACATCAAACACAACACAACTCGACGCAGCATACCTCGCCAACCCGCGTGTCAAACGAGGAGGCAGCAGCAATGGCAGCCAGAGCAGCAGCTGCAGTAGTACGACGACAAGTACAACAACAGCAGCAGCAGCAACAGCAGCCCCAATACCAACAGCAACAGCAGCAACAGACACAGCAACAGCAGGGGCCCTGGTTTTTGTTGAGTGTGTAGTGGAGCCCCCCTGAGTAGAGCCCCTGCCCCCGGTGGTGTTTTCTTATTGTTCTTGTTTTGGTGGTCAAGAGGGACGAGAGCGCACGAATAGGCAGGCCAGGCAAAGTGGCGCCTTTAGTGCGGCTCTCACATAGTTCGGTTCGCAGTCCTCTGCAGCGCTGTGTTGCCTAGCCAGGGGCTGGGAGAGCGTCCCGGTTGGCGTGAGTGAGGGAATGAGGCGCGCGGAGGAACAGACGGACGTAGAGCCGCGCGCCCATCCCTGCGCTGTGTTTCGGCCCGGTCAGGGCCCCCGGTGCTCGTCCTTTATCGGGCGAGCAGCCCACAGTGTAACACCCCATCAACAGCAAACACAGCAGCAACAACAGCAACAGCCACAACAATGACAGAACCAGCAATCACAACAGCAACAGCAGCAGATACAGCAACAGCCGCCACAGCAGCAGCAGTGACAACAGCAGCAGCACTTATACACTACCACCAATCAACCGGTGCTACCTGCATCAGCCTCTATCCCTAAATCTCCCTCCACCACGCACCCGTTGCTGGGCCAACCAATTCAAGATGTATACATCCTGGCCGAAAATATGCAAGACGAACAGCAATGGCAAATGCAAAGCAGACGGACGCAGAGACAAACGAGTCGTGGAGACCCACTTCTGCCCACCGATCAACCTGTGCTGGGCAAGCATGCGGACAAACCAACATCACACACTTCATCTCCAGGGGTCACTCCCCAACACAAGAGGCGAGATACGGTAATAAGCCTGCCCAGGTTTAATATTCTTCCACATGACGACCCGGGTGACCTCATGCAAGTCAGCGAGGAGGAGGAAGGGAGAAATACAGTAGTAGTGCGCGGAAATGGAGATACGGAAATACCCCCTCGGTAAATGGGGCGACGGAGAAGATGCAGGAGGCCTAATAATAGACCCCTTTGTATAGCGTCCCACAATGTAGCGGGTTTATTTACGCATTCGGCATATACTCGTATCCATGCTGCGGCTAGAGTATGGGCCCAGCATAGGTTGGATGTCATTTGTTTACAGGAGACACATCATATGGGAGATGGAGACCTGACAATTCTCACTAGAGAATTGCACTTCACAGCTCAGAAAATAGGGATACCGGGATGGGATATAATAGCACAATCCCCCACGACCAATGCCCGGATGTCTCCTGGCTTTTTTGGATATTGCTAAAGCTTACGATTCCTTATATCGTAATTTTTTATTTGAAGCAATGGATGCTATGGGCGCAGGAGCAGGGTTAATTAGCTGGACTAGGCTTCTTTTATCCGATACAGCGTCGAAAGCGGTAGTAAATGGTTTTTTTCCCGTGAAGTTGCTCTTACGGTGGGTGTGCGACAGGGATGTCCATTGGCACCGTTGCTATACTTGTTTGCCGCGCAGGCGTTTCTATGTTGGTTACAGTACAACCGAGTGGGGATTCATTTACCCCAAAATAATTCAGAAATGCTTACAGCGGTACAAGTTGCTGATGATACGGAAGTTGTTTTAGAAGGAATCGAGGCAATTCCGGCTTTTCTTGATTGTATGAGGGTGTACGCACAGGCTTCTGGACAGCAACTTAACCTGGATAAGGTTGAGCTTTTACCTCTCGGCACCCACCCACATAATGTCACAATAAATCATGACATGAAGGTGGTACACATGGCAACGGCACGCAATCTGCCTTTTACGGATGTGGGAGACACCACAGTCAGGGACTGGGACGTGCAATTAGACAAAGTCTGGGCTCGGTTTCAACGCATTTCTGTGTTACACCTTTCCATTTTTGGGCGTGCACAGGCAGCCGCTGCCTATGGGCTGCATCGTTTTACGTGGCATATGGAACATGGGGGATTTCCCCCAGAAGCAAAACTGATTAATATTGAGGCTAAAGCTGCCAAGCTTATTGATAGGCACCTCGGCCCGGTCGCACACGACAGACGACTCACCGGGTTTCCTAAATATTTGTTATATGGCCACCCAACTTTGGGCGGTTTTGGGGCATTAGCAGTTCGAGAACACGTACAAGCGCGATGGGCGTGCTGGGCAGTGCGTTTTGTGAGGGCGATAGTCCAACCAGTCTTAGTACGTCCGCCATGGGTGTTGGTCATGCACTCTTTCCTGCATACCCTTTACCCGAAGTACAATCCTATGTGTCTATTTACGTCCCAGGTGGGAGTGCCTTGGTTTGGATTAATCATTTTACCGCCAGATGTTCAGCGCATTGTGACAGCACTGGCATACCTCCCCCCAGTTGAAGTAGGGGTGGAAACTTACGCTTTACGGTTTTCGCCTTACGCTTTTCGGTTACGGTAAATTACGGTCGGGCCCAAAAACGACCGTAATTTTTCGGTGTGACGGCGTAACGTAAATTACGGTGTCCATTTTGCCAAAATTACGCTCAACCGTAAAATTGGTCGACCGAAGACGCGTCAGGGCCAGGCCCAGTCCTCACCGGAAGTCAGATGTCCACACGCCACCGCGCCTCCAAGCCCACCGCTCCTCCAAAGCAACATATAATCATCTAACAACCATTCTAAAGCAATTAATGGAAGATGAAACTGTCCGATTTGCCGCGAAAACCTTGCTTCGAAGTTCGAAAACGCACCTCAACATAGCCACAACTAAGTAGATCGATACCAGCACCAAGGTAACTATGTAAACAATGATACTAGAAATCAGCACTCTGCTCATTCTGAAGTGGTCGTGCATTTATTTCCGTGCGAGTTGAGGACGTGCGAACAGAGGTAGCAGCTAAAAGAAAATGTTATTTGTTGTAATTATAGTATTACTAAAATGTTTTGGGTTCACGAAAATGGCCACTGGTACGGGACCGTAAAGCATTACGGTTGGTCTCAGGACGCTCCAAACCGTAATTTACGGTATTTGACGCGTTACGCTTTACACTTTGCGTAACTTACGGTCCAAAAAGTCTATTACGCCGAAAGTTTCCACCCCTAAGTTGAAGATGTTGATGATCACCCGTTAGTTCCCAATGCATGGTGTTGGAATTTGCCTCTGTGGGGAAACCCTGTTCTTCCAGAAAAGAGGTTGAATGTCCCGTCAGATAACATCCGCCCGGGACTGGAATTTCGACACCAAGCACTCCTGGGCTGTAAAGCATTGCATACGTTGGGGGATGTTCTTCGTGCGCGCGAGGCCTTGGATGGAGTTATGCATGCAACGGACCAGGCAGGCCTAGCAATGCGCAAGGCTTGGCATCAAATAGTGGATCAATACCTCCAACCGCGGACCCCGCTAGCTAAATCCCTGTGCACTTTTCGTAAATGGCAGGAATGTATGGATGCTATTGTCGCTCTTTTAGCTGATATCCCGGCGCATGGGCGACAGGCGGCTAGTCGTTTGTTGCCTCTGAGTGTAGAATCTAGGGAAGCGATGGTGCCCTCCATTGAGTCGGTTACCCAAACCCTGGTGTCGAGGCTTGGTTGGAGATGGGGTGTAGGGCCTCCAATCAGATTTCAGGATTTATCCGTTAAATTAGCGACTAATATGCAACTTTCACCATTTTCTATGGCTCGCCGTGTGGCCCACACCCTCTTCATCAAAGAGGCGACGGGCTCTTCTGAGGTACTGGAAGAAGATATTCTTAATTTGCAACGGACATTCCATCGTTTATGGTTTCATTTACGATGGGACAAGTCGGGTGTCGGCTTCCTCGAAGCCGGAAAAAGGGCGGGCCCCCCCTGCATCCGTACAGGCCGGTAGCTAGCGCGGCACGTGTGACAATTGATGGGTCGTGTCAACACGGTGGGAGATGTGCTTTGTTGCAGCAGTGCTGATGGTGTGAGAGCTAAGCTTGCACCGGCGGAATCGTCAGCACCGCCTGCGGGCTCCACGCGAATCGCATCCATCCCGGGTGCATGCTGCATGGACAGTGCGGCAGACCGCAAGTTGGAATGCCCGTGCGGGCAAATGGTAACGAAAGCTGGGTGAATTTCGATGCTGTCTGTGATGTTTATCCCCGAAGCGCCAGCGGCTTCAAGTCTCCGGAGGCCCCGAGCATTGGCTAAAGTAAATGTACAAATGAGCAGCTTGCGTATTTTATAGAGAAATGTAAGCAAATTTGTCGGCCTGCTGGTGGCAAGTCGGAATGCCCGTGCGGGCAAATGGTAGCACAAGCTGGGTGTTCAAGTTATCATACGCTGTCATCTCGGAAATCAATGATGAGATACACGGCACCTTTTTGAGATGAAATTTAGCCCGAGAGGCGTTGATGTGACTATGAGCTCGGTCAATGGAGGCAGCCAAAGTTGTTTGTGCTCATACGATCTTTGTTAGCTACATGCGAGATACCTTGCATTAGAGAATGATATATAGTACCGATAACGCGTTTCAGCCGGGTGAAATATTATGTTTGGTCCGTTACACACTCAAGGCCTGGGAGTTCGAGTTATCATACGCCGTCATCTAAGAATTCAAATATGAGATACGCCGTACCTTTTGAGATTAAATTTAGCGCGAGAGGCGTTGATGTCCTCGGTCAATTGAGGCAGCCAAACTTGTTTGTGCTCATACGATTTTTGTTGGCTACATGCGAAATACCTTGCAATAGAGAATGCTGTATAGTACCTATAACGCGTTTCAGCCGGGCGAGATATTATGTTTGGTCCGTTACAGACACACACACACACACACACACACACACACACACACACACACACACACACACACACACACACACACACATGGGCAATCCTACAGGTCGGGGCCCCCCTGGGCGCTTCGCGCTGGGGCCCCGCCCAAAAATGAACAAAAAGAGGTTTGGTGGCGTCTCACGGTTGATGGGGTGCCTATGTTAGGAAGTTCCCATCTCAGGATGTCGCGGCCAACAGTATGTGGTTGTGGAGGTTATCCAGTAGGTTCAGTGGGAGGTGTATCCCCTCGCTGTCATCACTTCTGGGCTTGTCCGGTGGCACAGGCAGTAGCAGATCAACTTACTCTTTCAATAGGATTGCCAGTCTCAAGGGAGCAACTTTGGCTTGTCCAAGCCCCACAAACAGTGCAACAATGTGTTTGGGATGTCGTGGCTCTTGCTGCGGTGTCAGCCATGGAGCATGGGAGGCGATATATGGCTGCAACCATGAAAACCAACCCGGCACTGTTACCTGGCCCTTCCCTTACGGAAGGAGCCATTTGTCGAGTTATTGTTGACTTTTGGGGCCGCCTTCAGGGTTTCGCAGCTCTGGGAATTCCACGGAAAGGTTGGGATTCTGTTGGCGCACATCACCCCTTCTTGAGAATTAAATCAGGCAAATTGCTATGCTCACGGGAGCGATCACCGATGAACGGTTAGTTATCTGGGTGATGGTCTAATTTGTATATTAGTCTCTACTGCAGTGCACGGCCAGCTGGCCCGATGGCTCTACTTTTCAGGAGTCTGGAGCCCACTGTAACAACCACACACACAACCGAAAATGCTGCGACACATGAAGGTGCCAGGGCAGTATTAATTGAGCTGCTCTCCGACGACGACCTGGATCTTTAGCAGGAACACAAAGACGTCACCCAGCTGCTGAAGGCCCTCGAGACGCGCTACAAGGGCTACGCAGATGTACATGCCCAAAAGCTATGGGGAGCTTTTTAAGATTGCAGACAGAAACCAGACATGCCCTTCAGGAAGTATATCAAAGCAATAAAGGATATATGCTTCGAGCTCAAGGAAAGCAGGCAAGCCGTAGCGGACGCCAACACCGTGTCGGTGTTCCAACACCCCCCCCCCCGTGAGCGACACTCTCTGTACCGATGTCTTTATCCTATATTATTGATTTCTGGACTATGTTCAAGAGACACGCACCGCAACCCCGAGCCCCAACAGAAATAGTTTCGGCGGTAGCCATTAGGCTGTAAATCGAAAATTATGCCTCGATGAAGCATGGATCTGGCTACTGATCCCGAGACCTTAAAACCCGAGGAGAGGCAGAAGGTGGTGCATGCGCAGCTGATGGCGCCTGTCACATCGCAACCTGGGTTCGCAGCGACCCAGGTATGAATCAACATCTTGCGTGATCAGGCATTCTGTGTGGTATTAGGTTTTCACCTTGTTTTAATCTTAGCATTTACCTTCCAGGGCCGTTTGGTGTCTTGTGCTTCGGCATGACCACTTAGTAAGCTAGTCGTCGGCTCTGAAGGGACTTTAGCAATTACACAGTTGTGGCAAATGCTGAATTAATATGATTACTTCAATACTTGGGTATCTTGTTGTTGTTGTTACATGGTCGTGGGTGCGTTCCCCGTACCTGCAAACCACTCTAATACGAGCCGAGGGCTGAAGGGCTGCCAGATCGCGTATAAGCACCATCCTTCCTCGCACTTCCAACGAAACAAGTGATGAAGGATACTAACGACCAAAGGGAACGATAGAGTTGCGGTGGGACCATATACGTTCCAGGATCCTCGCCAGGCGTTCAGGTTCCCACTTCATAGCTATGAAGGACGCTATAGCGTCCTTCATATGCTCGAAACGTGGGAAACCCATATCAGATCTGATTTTGTCGTACACCGGACAGTCCAGCAAAATGTGCTTCTCATCCTCGATATGGCTATCAGTGCCGCAGCAAGGGCATACTCGCTCCTCCCTAGGTATATAACGCTGTCCCTTACGCGCGCTCTAAACTGCATAAGCTTGCGATACGCTGAACGCGGGATAAACATTGTGATATGCGGGAGCACCTCCTTCCTGCCCGCTTGTTCGGCCGGCCCATACTTGGGTATCTAACCCTGTGTCTCTTCTCCTTGCTTCACCTCACTTCGACAACCACCGGCAACGGTCGGCCTACAGCATGATGATGTTCATCACCACTACGTGGGTGAACACATGTTGCTGCTATCACCAACTTAGGGCAATTTAGAATTGCCTTTGTTTACAGCTTTCCTTTAGTGGTGGATGTTATCTTCTTGCGTGTTTGCAGCTGGGCTGAGTCTGCATTTCTTCCAACCGTGATGTGCTACGCCATGTTCTACCGAGGATTCGGCCGGTTCGTTGCTGGCGTCCTAGAGGTGAGGGCACGGGTGTAAGTTCTGCGGAGGGTTTACGAAATGTGCATTAGATCTAGGGCGGCAGATGGCAGATATTCCAACACTGCAGTGGCTCAGCAAAGGAGTCGCTTGAGCACGAGTAACATAGCGTCCCCAGATAATTGACTTCAGAGAGCCAGCCTTGTCGAAGTTCTCACTTATAGGACCAAGAGTTGTGATAGTTAAGGTGAGCATAGCCACCCTTTGCCACACTTCCAGCCAGAAATAATATCATTGAGACCAGGCCTAGCTACTGCCCTGCGCCCAGCCACCTTACCCATAATCCCTAAACTGCAGCTGATCAAGGGCAACACTTTCGGCGGCACTGCCTTCGCCAGCTACGGAGCCTTCTGGATGGGCTGGTGAGTATTTGCAGTGCCGTACAGTATACCTGACTACCGTACGTACATCACTTGCTGGCGCTCGATCCTGTTCCCAGCACTTGTCATGATCGAACTTGCTCTTTTGCCACGCAACGGACACGCGCACTGGGCCAATCAAATGTCACCACTGTTACAAATTTCCACACTTGTTCGTGGACGTGTATAGCACAATTGCCCAGCGGCGATGACGCCGAGCTAGGCGACATGTATGCCTCCGGGATCTGGGCCTTCCGGGCAGTGAACTTGCGCTGGTGAGCCACTGCGTCAGTGGCTGTTTTACTTGATTTGATAGACGCATCTTTCCCAGGCAGCAATGTTGCTCTTCTTTTACTTCCTCTTCTTCTTGAGGGCTTGGCTAATTCGCTGCTAGTTCCGTTGAAACCGTCTCAGCCTCGCGTCAGGGATCCTGCCAGCAGCCATGCCTTCGTCGTCCTCCTGTTGTCGCTCTTAGCTGCTGAGACACCTACTGCCTCTTCCTCCATCGCCCAATCTCCGTTCATTGTCCGCCTTCACACCGCAGTTTATTTCCCTTCTCCCTGCACCGCTCGCTCATCCATGCCTGTTTCCGTTCCAGGTTCCTGTTGGAGCTCCTGATGAAGCAGTACCCCTCGGTGTACAAGACCGCGCTCATGGGCAAGACGCTCTGGTGCGGACTGTGGGCCTTCCTGACGGCCGGTAAGAAGAAGACGGGGGGTACAGGCAGGCAGGTATGCATACATGCATGCATGCATATGCTCCATGGCCCCGTGGCCCTTCATGCTGTGGCGACGTTTTTGGCGGGGACGGGACTGAGCAGAGGGCAACAACGTATCTCGCCCTTACTCGGAGGTAGATCAGGAGGCCACGGAAAAAGAACCCTAAACTCCTTTTGCACGCCCGTACAGTGATGTCGCTGTTTTGGACTGCATGTACCAAACCCTCCTATCGGCGCTTCCCTGGCATAGTGCCTGAACGGAACCGGGGCCCTGCTACCCTGCAACCTCGTGCTGACCTCGTGCGTGCTTGGCCACGCCTCATGCACGGAAAATCGCTGGCCAAGTCTACAGACTACGTAATTTCGTCTTCTATCCGCTGTTCCAGGATTCTTCGTTGTGATGCTGCGCAAGAACGGCTGCCTAATGACCATCTTCTCAACCCTGGTCATCACCTTTTCGCTGCTGGCTGGCGGAGTGTGGAGCGAGAGCTGCGAGCTGGCCGCGGGTTACTTTGGGTTCTTCTGCGGCGCGTCCGCCATCTACGCCGCCTTCACCTTCCTGTTCAAGATTGAGCTCGGAATTGTGCTGCCAGGCGCGAGGCCCGTCAACTACCTCCCCACCTCTCCTGCGCACCATTCCTAGAACACCTAGAAAGCTGTACCGTAGTGCTACTTATAGTTCGTGCTACAATAATTCGGGAGGCACCACGAATATGTAGCATGTACAAATTCTAAGGTATCCCAAGGGACCGCAGCCCCGAAATATCGTACCCTCCGAAGCCGGTCGATCAAACTTCGCAAAAACTAGGATTTCAAGGCGGAAATCAGCTCTTAAATACATAAACTATATTCATAAACGTAGGACATGAACAACGCTGGAAAACGTGCAAGACAGGCAACCCTGCTTCAATGCGGGATGAAACCGCTAGCACCAAACGCACCGGTGAGCGACCGAGATGGATTTGCACCAGTTAGGCTTGATGATGCTGTTGTCGAGGCCCAGCGTGAGCGAATGGAGCACGAGGAGGTTGCTAGGCGCGAGCGCAATGCGGTCAATGCTACGGCAGCCGTTCCTGTTTGGTGCATCCAGCTGCGTCGTAATGCCTTTTACGTCGGGGTTTCAGCCACATCAAGACACGTTTCAGTAGCAACCACCCAAATACTGTATTGGCCCGGCCGGTTGGTTATTAGGTCGTTGCCACTGGTACTGAACTGTACGATCGGTCCAGAATTTGCTAGGGCGTTTCCAAAGTGCGAAAATGGTGAGAGACCATGAGCCTAAGGGTTCCCGGTGGAGGGAGACTGACTGGAAGCTGCAGTTTGAAAAGCCCCGAAACTTTGGAAGGGGCCCCGAAATTTGTATCATGCCCGCAAAATCTGGTCCGGCCTTCCCCGAAATTCAAAGAGCACGTACAAATTTCAGAAAGTTTTTTGACCCCTCCCCGAACAAAGCGATCACGAACTATAAGTAGCACTACGGTACTCCAAGCCAGTTCTAAAACGCCGTTAACACCAAACGGGTGCTGCACCAATTATCGCAAATTAGCACTTTTTTTCCAAGGCGCTGCAAGGACCTCCGTCTACAAGTCTAGTCTACACCGTACGCCGGGCTCCAACTATACGGCCTGGAGCTAGCCACTTTCCTCGGTTTGTCCGACTATGTCTGGGGATTGTGTAGGGGGTTGCAAGTAGTGCTTCACGAAGCACGGGAATGATGATGATGAAGAGGACGTCTTTTTTGAAGGACAGCGCCATGCTCGCGGCGGCTGGTTTGCTGGGGCGTGGTGTGGCAGTAAGCCGCCTGGGATAAGAGTACTGGCGTACTGGAATACTGCTGAGGGGCGCTGTGTGTGCACGCAGAGGGGAAAATGCCTCATGTGCTTTCATCCTTGCTGGTGCACTGCGGTACTCCTGATGTCTTGGATCTATCCATATTATTTGAAAAGTATCTTGTACGCAGCGAGGATTGCAGGCTGGTAGGGAGGTGTGTTGGGAGCTGGAGAGCAAGACTTTTTGCAGGCGAAGAGTGGCGGGGGCGGCCTTTGCGGGGCGTGTGTGGAGGCATGTGGACGGAACTGGGGCCATCAAATAGACCGCGCCTGCGTGGTCGGGGTGTGCTGATCGATCGCTGCTTTGTTTGGATCATTCTTGGCAAAGGGGAAGTCTCGGGGGCAGTTCATGTCCTGCTGCAGCTGTTCGTCTGCTATGCGGGCTGTGTATTGTATGCGGTGGGTCCCTGTGTATGGGTCGCATCGCGTGCTCGCTCTGTTCAGCATGATTCGTTTGGAGTGGTGGATATTGTTTGGTTTCTCCGATCTATTGCATCTTGATGGTGGGCGGTGATTGCGAGTAACAATCTTCGAAAGGCTTTCCTGAATTGGTTGTGTGCCGTTTTCATTGAATACATATGCACATTGTTTGTGTTTCCTGTGGCTCTCGAACGTGCGTTACCTGCCATAGCTGTCTACACAGACAGGTATCCGCTTTTATGCTTGTCTCCATGCCTAGTAGGCATTGCCTACCAACGTATTTTATCGGCTGCAGCGTACCGCAGGCCTAGAAGTTTTTAGAATTTTTTTGGATTATGTTGGCACTTTTAACGTGGCAGAATATTCCGTATGGAATTGAACATTTGAACCTCGCCTTTGTTCGGTAGCTTGCCGTGGTTCGGTAGCTTGCCGTGGGGCAGGTGGGGCATGGGATGTGGCAGGATGCTAATGTGTGCGTCTTTATTATGGTAGTTGTCGTGTGTGAAGATATCATGACCTGCGTGTAAAAGTTTCCGGCATTTACGACGATACCACCGTTGGTCGGTCACAAGGTGTGTGGTTGTTACAGTGGGCTCCAGACTCACGAAGAGTAGAGCACAAGGCGTCGCAACATACACCATGCTGCCCCCAAAAGGACACGTGCTTGTGGAAAATTGTGATTATAGTTGATTCACCAAACAGTGCAACAGTTGCTGTATTGAAGTTCGTCTGATCAGTTATGACGCGCGAACACAGCCACCAGCGTGCACAGCTGCACACAATTCCCGTAATCCGCACTACCATTGTCCTCGGACTCGTCTTCAAGAAGTGGCAGGGAGTGAACCAAGGCTGCGACAGCTGAGTCGCTTTCGATGTACGCGCATGCGGAACCATAACGGCTTGCAACCGATCCTGAACGGTGTACTTCGTTGTAAGCTTCATCGACCTATACAGCTAGTTGGCAAAGGTAAAGTAGTCGTACTTTTGTCAAGGAAAAGTATCGCAGGAAGAGAGTTGACGCCGCCAGGCTGCCAGAAGCATGGCTCGACGAAAGCTGTTATTGCACCTTTTTATGAACCATCTCCTATAGAACATAAACCGTGCTGTAAGCACACATACCCATTTCCAGGTTGGTATCAAAGCTGCTGCCGAATTGGTGTTTCAATCCTTCTTCCGAAAATTTTCTGAATTCAATACGTATCGCGTATTATCACGGAAAAGCAACGCCATAATTCCGGTCGAGCATCGGCTTGTGCCTTTTGGCAGCACTCAACAACCGTCAACTGCTAACCTTTGGCAAAGGCGTCGGAACCATGACATAGCTACAGCGCCAGCGACTGCACAGAGCGCAGAGTACGACCATCTATTATAGCGTCGGCAGAGTTGGTGGTGGTGCAGAAATGCTCAAAGTCCTTGACCAGCGCCGTGGCAATCATCGAATCTGGGCACCTTGACAACTTGGCGTCCACGGCTTTGGCCTCGGTTATAATCGCTGTCCTCCATTTGAGAACTTAAAAGATTAAATGCTCCCCCCCCCCGCGTCTCCGGCTTCCTTTCCTTTGGCTTATCTCCGGCACCCTTACCCGCTCGCAATCTGTACAACCATTCCCACCCTCTTAAATCCAACCCGCTTTCTTTCCTTCACCATCCCGGCAACAGACCTCTCCAACTATCCGTTGGTGCCAGCAGCACCGTCACTAGTCCCATCCATCACCCCGTGTTCAGCGGTCTGTCGCACTCGGACGGTCAGCCTCCTCCAAGCCGCTAGCCGAGCGCGCGGAAGGGAAAGCAATGGCCAATGACGGCGAAACCCCGACTCCAGGAACAGTCCAACCGTCCATAGGGCCCCACGCGGCTGCTACGGAAGATGCGACTGCCCAAGCTCTATCGGCCCTGTCCCTAAACGACAACACGTTCTCGCCATCGGCCGCCAAAGTACGGCAGACGTCCACCGTGCAACCGGCGGCCGGTGCCGGTGAAGAGCGCGCATCTTGTCGTACAGCTGTGGCCGTGGCAACGCCAAACGCAGCAGCAGTAGCAGCAGTAGCGCCATCGGCGCCCTCACAACAGCCTCCAGCTGTAGCTACAGCTGCAGCAGCACGCGTTGCGGGCATGCCGGCGGCGCTGCAAGCTATACGGGAGCTTGTGAGCTGGCCCGTGTTGTACGGCAAGGAGGGCGCTGCGTTGGGTGTGCGGTGGCCTCGGGGGTTGTTGCTTCACGGTCCGCCCGGCTGTGGCAAGACATTACTGGTGCAGGCGGTGGCGGGTGGGTGACGGGGGGTTGACGGGGGGGGGAGGGGTCGGCTGCGTTAGCTTGGGTTGGCGTGTTGTTGTAGTCGGGGTTCTGCCCCTGGATATACGGGAGCTAAGGGCTCTGCTCTTTCCCTCCCTCCCTCCCTCTCGCCCTCACATGTTGTCAGTTTTGATCCCCGTCACTTGTTCTTCTTCTAGTTGCATCGTCGTCATCATCATCACCATCACCATCATCATCATCACCATCACCATCACCATCACCATCACCATCACCGTCATCCTACGATTTCCCCCCTGCCCCCTCCCCCCCCACACACAGCTGAGGCAGGTGCGCGTCTTCACGTCGTCACGGCGGCCAGTGTGTTGGGGCCGTACACGGGGGAGAGCGAGCGGCGACTGCGGGAGGCGTTTGCGCGGGCACGGGAGGACGCGGACGCGGGGCGTGTGGCTGTGGTCTTCCTGGACGAGGTCCGCGTCGCGCCCAGCTGCGATTTGGGCCTGGCTGCGGGGGAGAGTCGTGGGGTTGTTTGTGCGCGTGTGTGTGTATGGGGAGGGGAAATCAAGTCGCAGTCGTACCCCTTCATTTGACCCCCCCGACACTCTGATTCCCGGGACTATGATTCCTTTGCAGCCCTCAAGGCTGCCGGGGCCTTATGCAATGCGGCCAGTACCGTCGTGCAAGCAACTCCCCGCCCACACTTGCAAATGTACATACATACAGACAGACATATATACATACACGCGTGCACAGGTGGATGCGTTGTGCCCCCGCCGTGACGGTGGTCGAGCACATGACTCCAGGGTGGTCGCACAGCTGCTCACACTGCTGGACGGCGCCGCCAGCGGCGGCAGCGACAACCGCCGCGACGCTGCCGCCGCCGCCGCCGCCGCCCCGACCACCCGGATGGGTTCCGTTGTCGGTGGTTGTGGCGGCCACCTGGTCGTCGTGGGTGCCACCAATCGCCCCAACGCTCTCGATCCGGCATTGCGGCGACCTGGGCGACTGGACAGGGAGGTGCTGGTGGCGCTGCCGGATGCGGAGCAACGAAGGGAAATACTCGGGTAGGGTACGACTGCTCGGTACGACTGCTGGGTACGACTGTAGGGTACAATCCCTTGCGGGTGCTTTGGGCGATTTTGTGAGAGGGTGTGGTACTGTCATTGAGAAGAAGTGAAAACCAACAACTGCCTGACGTGTCAGTGATTTCCCCCAGCGTATTGCTGGCTCAGCTAAGGACACACACACACATACGCACATACATACACACATACATACGCATACACACGCATTCCGCGTGTGGCGCGTTTTGGGCGCGTAAGCCCTTGTTCTCTACCTCGCACAATCTAGCAACTATTTTTTTCTAGATGCCATATCCCCCCTTCCTGCGCCCTAACGCACGCTTCAATCGTCCACACACGCACACCTGTGTGTCTGTGTGTGTATTACCCCTCGTGGAGACTGCAGGCTGCACACCCGCGGCCTGCAGCTCGCGTCCGACGTAGACCTCGCAGCTGTAGCCGCCTGCTGTCACGGCTACAGCGGGGCGGATCTGGCGGCGGCGGCGCGCGAGGCGGCTATGGCGGCGTTGGCTGAGGTGGCGGCGGAGTCATACGGCATCGGCGCGGCAGCGACAACAGCCGCGACGGCTGCGGCAGCGGCGGCGGTGCCGCCGCAGGTGTTGACTGTACGGCAGGAGCACCTGGCGACGGCGTTGCGGAAGGTCCGGCCGTCGATCATGCGGGGAGCGGAGGTGGACATTCCCCCCGTCAGGTAAGAGGGGCAAAACACACACTTCACACGGATAAAAGAGCGGACCCATACGACACGTACACTTACCACAAAATTGCTCAACCCCGTGGCTCAGCCTGAATGCACCTTCAACGTTACATAAGGTGACCCACGGGTCACGAATTCATGGGTGTCACTGGTTTCCTGGGCCTTGTGGAATTGTGCCCTTCAACAGGTTCCATGTGTGTACGAATGTACGAATGTATGTATGTATGCATGTAGGTAGGTAGGTAGGTAGGTAGGTAGATAGGTAGGTAGGTAGGTAGGTAGATAGGTAGGTAGGTAAGTATTCTTGTGCTTCTAGGGATCTGGAGTTTTGACTTCTTCGTTGCGGAAGCAAAGGAGCAAAAAGGGTTACAGGGGCTCCACTCCCGCGGTTCTGATCACATCACACGACATCACACTACATCACACTACATCCTCGTCGTCCTGTCGCCCGTCACGGCCTCCCCCCCCCCCGCTCACAGCTGGGACGATGTCGGCGGGCTCGATGAGGTGAAGAGGCGCCTGCGTCAGGCGGTGGAGTGGCCGCTGCGACATGCGGCCGCGTTCCAACGACTGGGGCTAACCGCACCGCGGGGGGTGCTGCTGCATGGGCCTCCGGGTGGGTACACTGAGTTGTGTGTGAGTGTGTATGGGTGTGTATGGGTGTGTGAGTGTGTATGGGTGTGTATGGGTGTGTGAGTGTGTATGGGTGTGTATGGGTGTGTGAGTGTGTATGGGTGTGTATGGGTGTGGGTGTGTATGGGTGTGTGTGGGTGTGTATGGGTGTGTATGGGTGTGTATGGGTGTGTATGGGTGTGTGAGTGTGTATGGGTGGGTGGGTGTGGGTGTGTATGGGTGGGTGTGGGTGTGTATGGGTGTGTATGGGTGTGTATGGGTGTGTATGGGTGTGTGTGTGTGGGTGGGTGTTGTAAGTTGAAGCGGTTTGCTGGCCACTGGTGTGCCGAGACTGAGCTGTATTGCTGGCGCGGCTCGAGATCGAGCAGTGTTTGGTGCTGCTAGTATAATGTGTCAACCTAGGACGACTACACACATACGGACACGCATACACACACGCTTGCACAACCCCTTCCCCCCCGCGCCTCCCCCCACAGGGTGTTCCAAGACCACCCTGGCTCGGGCCGCGGCCACTGCCTCCGGCGCCACCCTCCTGGCGCTGTCCTGCGCCCAGCTCTTCTCCATGTACGTGGGGGAGGGGGAGGCGGCGCTGAGAGATGCTTTTAAGCGGGCGCGCATGGCTGCACCTGCCGTACTGTTCTTGGACGAGCTGGACGCCGTGGCGGGTGCGTGCGCAGCCACGGCTGCACGACTGCTTGCATCCGTGTCGTGTGTGTGTGTGTGTATTCCCATGTTTATTTTTACCCCCTCACCCTGCAGCTATTATTATGGCGGTGTTGTGTGGGCTCAGGGTCCCGTACGAGGTTCCCGTATCTCCATGACTTGGCGTTACCTTGGCGACTGACTACACACACACATGCGCAACATTGAAACCCTTCTATTCCCTTCAACCCCCTGAAAAGTCCGTCGGGAGGGAGGTGGCGGCGGCGGTGGCGGCGGGCCCGATGCGGGTGTACGGCTGGTGACGACGCTGCTTACCGAGATGGACGGAATCGAGCTGGCGGCAGGTGGGGGGAGCAGGGGGGGGGCCAGGGGGGGGGGCCAGGGGGGTTTTAGGAGCTATGGGGTGCCCTGGCTGCACTCTCATAATCAGGGGCATGAATGCCTTGCCTTGCTCCACAACAGCTAAGCATACATACATACGTACGTACATACATTCAGACAGGTAGACAGACAGACAGACATAAACGAGATCTGGACGGACAGTACAATCTCTCGTCTCGTCTCACCCAGTGTTGAGCCCTCGAGCGCTCGTCCAATCTCATTCTCACGTGCTCACCACCCCCCCTTCACCTTCACCACCTGACATCCACACAACCTCACGGCAACCCCGCGGTAATCCACCCCTTTTTCTTCGTGTTCGTGGTTCGTCTCTCCCCCCATTTTCTTCGTGTTCGTGGTTCGTCTTTCCCCCCTTTTTCTTCGTGTTCGTGGTTCGTCTCTCCCCCCATTTTCCCCCTGCCAGGTGTGTTGGTTTTGGGCGCCACCAACCGGCCCGGCGCAGTGGACCCCGCGCTGCTGCGCCCCGGCCGCTTTAGTACGTTGCTCTTCGTGCCGCCCCCCGACCCGGCGGGTCGGCTGGCTGCACTGCGTGTGCACTGCCGCCGCATGCCCTTGGCTCCGGACGTCGACCTGGGTGCAGTGGCGCAGGAAACCCGGGGCTACACGGGTGGGTGGCCAGGGGGGGACGGGGGGGGAGAGGGAGAAAGACGAACCACGTGAACGAGTGAAGCTGCTGCCAAGGAAAGAGCAGAACTGACCAGTGGGGAGGTGGGGGGGAAAATGGGGATGAGATGATCCACTGACGATTGAAGCAGATACCTGAGATAGACGGGGACGTGGAGGGGAAGGGTAGTCTTTCCCTCCTCTCCCTCCTCTCCCTCCTCTCCCTCCTCTCCCTCCTCTCCCTCCTCTCCCTCCTCTCCCTCCTCTCCCTCCTCTCCCTCCTCTCCCTCCTCTCCCTCCTCTCCCTCCTCTCCCTCCTCTCCCTCCTCTCCCTCCTCTCCCTCCTCTCCCTCCTCTCCCTCCTCTCCCTCCTCTCCCTCCTCTCCCTCCTCTCCCTCCTCTCTCTCCTCTCCCTCCTCTCCCTCCTCTCCCTCCTCTCCCTCCTCTCCCTCCTCTCCCTCCTCTCCCTCCTCTCCCTCCTCTCCCTCCTCTCCCTCCTCTCCCTCCTCTCCCTCCTCTCCCTCCTCTCCCTCCTCTCCCTCCTCTCCCGTGCCTACGCATTCTTGCCCTATCCCTCCCCCGTTTGACCCTGTTTGACCAGGTGCTGAGCTGGCAGCCGTATGTCGCGAGGCGGCCCTGGCGGCGTTACGTGAGGACCTACACGGCGCCTCGCACGTGGCGGATCGGCACTTCGCCGCGGCGCTGAGGGCGGTACGGCCCGCCTTGACGGAGCAGCAGCTGGAGTCGTACGCGGCCTGGGGGAGGGGCAGGGGGCAACGGCCGACGACGACGGCTTCTTCGGCTTCTTCGGTTGTAACGGTTTCAGCGGGGGAGGACGTGGGAACGGGGGCTGCAGAGACTGCGGACACTGAAGAGGCCGGGAAGCAAGGTTAGGAAAAAGGTGAATGGTTAGGGTGGGGACACGGGCGGCATGGAGATGGGTTGGGGGTATTTGGGCCAACCCGAGATGACGTGGCGAACGTTGTTGTGAGGTACGATGCGATGTGGTAATGGGGGGAAGGGGGAGGGGAAAGGGGAAAAGAAGTTGACAGGTGTGATTGCGGGGTTTGTGTGTGTGTGTCTGAGTGTTTATGTGTGTGTGTAAGATAAAGAGAGAGAGAGAGAGAGAGAGAGAGAGAGAGGCGCTCAGGGCCGAGGAGCTAGGTCGAGCCGAGTTCCGTGAGAAGAGGGAGGAGCAGTGTGTGATGGCCGATGGGTGTGTGAGTGTGGAGTGTGGAGTGTGTTTGTGGGAAGGCGGGAAGAGTTTTGCGAGGATTTGGGTAAATGCAAGAGGGGACCGAAGGGGGACGGCCGTGTAGCGGCGCTCGCGGAAGCTGTGTCGTAGGGGAAGCTGCAAGGCTGGGTCTGGGGGGAGGGTGGCTCTCGGTCGGTCGGTCGGTCGGTGTTTTGGCCGGTTGTTTTTCGGAACTTGGTCTTCTCGGTTGAAGTAGGCTTCATCGGAAATGGCGCCGGTGGTGTTTTTTCTCTGTTTTTCGCGGCTGGTATAGAATATACTGATATGATAGGGGTATGACATGGGCTGAAAAAAGGGTGGAAGAACCGCCGACCCTAGGCGGTTGTGTTTGGTGTGGGATGCGCGAGGAGGCGCGGGGAGAACAGTGAGGCACATGTAGCGCGTAGGGCATGGGAGTTTGTGCGCGGTTGGAGGACAGGTTAGGGATGCACGCGTCAGGTCCTGGGATGTGAGACGAGTAGGGGCGCGTGCTTGCGATGGCTGCTCGGTAGAGGTGGCCAGCATGATTTGGCGATGCTTAGGCGAGGTAGGAAAACGTCTGAACGCCGACGGTGATCCTTGTTTCCAAGGTGGGTTGGTATGGGTTTTGGGATGCCAGACGGTTTGCTTGTGAGGCCGGCCTTGTGGGGAGTCGTTCAGATGGTTACTGACTGGTACTTCATAAGGACCAGGGCGGACGGGCTTGCTGGCAGGATGACAGTATGCCGCGTACAATAGCATGCAAGAGAACACATCTGTGAGACCGCTGCGCATATCGCACGAAACCTTGCTGGAAAGGCCCGTCGAGAGTACGACAGATAAGTGCTGGACATTGACAGCGACTTGATCGTAGCCAGCGAACTCAGTTAGGGTATATAATTAATAATATGTTATATGTTAGTAGCTGAGAGGAAGACGAACGTTGTTGTATGGGAAGAGGTCACAGGTGTTGCACGCCTAGCGAAAATTTCAATGCCTGTTTACTTGCAACCCGGGCCGTCGCCCACAGTTGCCGTTTTCTTTTCTTCTATCTGCAGCTTATATCGCTGAAATATTTCTTTTCATGGAATTCTTCGCCGCAACGCAGTTGGTAGATGACTTTGTGCTTCCAACTCAACCGGATTTTGCCAAAACGGAAGTAGGAGTTGAGGACAATGTCATTTTACCCCCGCAGCAGGTTCGGGTTCTAGCTTGGTATCTTCCAACTTGAGCCATCGGTGGTGTCTTAGCCTTTTAATCCTCCTGTCCTAGGTTGGAGTACTTATTCTTGACACGGAACAAGAGACGGGGGTTGAGGAGTATCCGTTGTTCCTCGGTGAGTCAAGCGACTGACCCTGGCAATTATTGCACAGCAGAAACCTGAAACTGGGAAGCTCCCCACCTGCACGCAGGTTGCAACGTGATCGGACGTGATGTGCCGCATCTTCCAGGGGCCGATAAAGTGCGGGAGGAGCGACTCAGGCAATGGCGGAACGAGAATCTGGAGCTTCACGTCGAGGGTAAGCCCTTTCAGCAGAGCGGCGTCCGTGTCAAAAGCGGCGTCAAAGATGTGGGGTCTCAGAACCGCCGTAAAGCTGCGGACCTTTCCATAGCAAAGGTGTTGGTGAACACCCCCGGCATCGAGCGGCGTTAACTGATACCACCGGGCAAGGCCTCGCCTGCCCGGCACCAAATTTCCTGCCAAGGTTCCCACTCTCTACTCCTGCAGCTTTTGGCCCAGGGCAAGATCCCGCTCTGTCCCCCGGCCCATCCCTTCCGGGCTCCTCCTCACACAGCCTCCTAAGACATATCTCCCCTTTGCCTCGCCTCCGGAATCCTCATGAAAAGAACATCGACCCGATCCCCCGTGTTGCATGTGCCTGTGTTATCCCTCTCCTGCCTTTGCAGCCATCTTTCTTTCGGATCCCAGCATTTCCAGTGCGCATGCACACATATGTGAGTGGCCGTTTTCTTGATGAGGGGAGATTCGTCCGTCCGCGGCCGTCGTGCCTGTGTGGCGTTTCCTCGACGGTGGCTTTCGAATGGAGCCTCCGGGCACGTGGAGGGAAAGCCCGTGGGGCTCCAGCTGCAGTCACTGTCATCCCATTTTTACTCCAGCTGCTGCCACAGTTCCTCACTTGCTGTAAAGTGTGCTGCACAGCTGCTTGCGTTTGCCACTTTTTGCCCGCATCACCTCCCCCTCTCTCCCTCCCTCTCTCTCGCGCGCGCTCACTCGCGCTTGCAGATCTGGAGGACGGTGGTCTCAACTGCTTCATCACTGCGCTGCGCACCACAAACCCGGTGGGGGGTTGGTATATGTATGTATGTATGTTGTTACAGGGTGGTTAACTTCGCCAGCGGCCCCCTTTCCCGGGGCAGTCCCTGCTCTCCCCTGCTAGAGGGGCACCCTAATCCGTCACCCCATCCGACTTCAGAATGTATTCGTTGGGTTCGGCAACTCACCACCAGCATCCAACCAAATCTAGCGGATCAACGGCGCATCAACTTAGTTCCTGGTCAGCTCGCAAGTTGATATTATCACGTCCTACACCGTCCATATGATGGGGGGCCACCTCCCATTTCATCACTCCTCAAACACCCGAGGAGCCGGCAGGCGGATTTGAACCCGGGTCGACTGGGTCGACTGGGAGCAGAAGTCAGGCCTTAACCTCTGCCAGCCGCCTGCCTAAGACATGGAGCTTACCGGGTTCGAACTGGTGACCTCACGCATGCAAAGCGCGCGCTCTACCACTGAGCTAAAACCCCTGTATGTATGTATGTATGTATGTATGTATGTACGTATGTATGTACGTATGTATGTATGTATGTATGTTACCAGGCTGGAGGAGTGGGGGTTATTGGACCCGTAGGAGGAAGGGGGTCTGCTGCTGCAGACAGGGCTTTGATCCTGAGCGCCGTGATATGGATTTTGTCAAAGTCGGGCAGGCGCTGTGTATTGCTTCTCCTGGTTAACCCGCACCCTCACCCGCACCTCATCGGGAGACTCTTATCCCGCTCAGCAGCATCCGTAACCGCGCAACCTTTGATCCCCCCTCTTTTCTTTTAGCAGCTTCATTCGTTCGTGGTTCGTCTTTCCCCCTCTTTTCTCCCTCACCCGGGCCCCCGGCGCCGCTCCCCCCCTGCAGAGCTTCCTGGTACCCGCCGGGGCGGCCTCACGCACACACGTGCTATCGCCCGGTGTGCGGTACAACGTGCGACCGGACGATGTGCTGCGGTTCGGCCGCCTCACATGCCGTGTGGTGTGCGGGCAGGACTGGCAGACGCGCTCCCAAGCACAGCAGCACCAGCACCAGCACCAACAGCCTTTTTCTCCTCCTCAGCTCATGCAGCAGGAGCAGTTGCCGCAGCAGAAGTCGCCGCCGCATCGGAATCAGGATCAGCAACAGCAGCACCAGAACCAGAACCAGCACGGCCTCAGGTCGGCTGCGACATCATCTCCTGGAGCGGTGAGACAGCGTCGTCGCCAAGAAGGAGTTATAGCAACGGCAGGGGCGGGAGAGGCGGCGCATAATATGGCAGGGGAGGCGCAGAGGGGCTGTAGAGGCGAAGGGCGGGTCGAGATGGAGGGTGTTGGTGGCGCAGCGAGCTCTCCTGTTCCCGCTGACACCGCTGACAGGGGGCCGGCGGCGGAGGTCCTCCTCCGTCGGGGCTCCGGAAGCACACACCATGAACCGCCGCCACAGCTGCAGCTGCACCAACAGCAGGGTTATGCGCATCTTCAGCAGCAACAGAAGCAGCATCACCTCATGCCGCCCACACAGGACGTGTTGATCGAGCCGCCGCCGCCGCCGCCGCCGCCGCCTTTGCCACTTCTGCCTCCTCAACCTCAACCTCAACCTCAGCCGCCCTTCCTAGTGCAACAACAACATCAGCACCAGCACCAGCGACAGCAATGCAGCCCTCCTCCGCCCGCTCCGTCTGTCCCGGTCTTGCAGGTCATAGCTCTCGTGCCGCCACACAGTCCCCATCCTCCCATCACCACCACCGCCACCACCACCACTGCAGCAGCAGCTCCTGCTGCCACTGCCGGTACGGCGGCGGTGGCATCGGTCGGCGCAGGTCCGCCGGGGGCCGCTCTGGCGGCGATGATGGGAGAACTCGGGGCCCTCGGAAAGACCCCCGGGTCGGTTCGCGCACTGGCGCCGGGTCCAGCGGCGGGTCCAGCGGCGGGTCCAGCCATGCTGGTGCAGTTTCCCGGCGGTGTCGCGGCGACGCTGCTGCCGGTGCCGCTGCCGCTGCCATTGGCGCTTCCGCCTGCCGGAGCGGTGGCTGGGGATGAGACTGACGAGACTGACGAAGATGCGGATGGGGAACAAGAGGAGGAAGGGGTGGCGGCGGTGGCGGGCGCGGCTGCTGCTTGTCCTGGCCCTGCCGTGACTCTCGCAGCGCCTTGGTGGGAGGTGGCGGACAGCCTGGACGACACTCACGACGGAGTCGGGTAAGGGCCTAGGTACGGAGTTTGGAGGGGACGGCTGCTCCTTAGGGGGGCCTCTTTTCCTGAGGACTGTGGCGGTGGTGG